AGGACAAAGTTCGCATGACTATAAGAACTAACACTAACGAGTCTTATGAGCGATTAATGCAGAGAAAGGAGGCATAGGTCTTCACCCAGAGATCGCGTGTGAGGTGAAGGCCGAGGAGCCACGGCGAAGGCGCCAGGACGCGATCGGAGGCGGAGGCTCTTGCGGCACGAGCGAAGGCTATGTCACGGACGACAGAAGAGAAGGTCGGGAAGCTCCGACGAAGGCTTCCCGAGCGGAGGCCCCGGAACAAGGAAAGCCCACGCTCGGCGGCATTACTGGGCCATGGGCCGATGTTGGGTCATCGACGGCGGCCCAACAGGCAAAGGCGGTAAAGGAAAGAAGATACCCAAACTGCGCAGGGGGCTTGCATTAGCATAGGAATATTCCGGAATGTACTGTAACCGACAAGGGGTAGAAAATGTAAAAAAAATAGTTCTAGCAAACAATGCCCTATAAAAGGAGGGACTCAAACTCTGTACAAGAGAGAGGGAGACATTAATGCAACTCTAGTCAAGTTCGGACCCACCTTTCACTACTCTCACCTTCGCCCAGGGCTCCAGACCGGGTGAAGGCTATCATTGTTTTTTTGTGTCTCGACTACTGGAAACTAGGCTTTCCAACACACAGCTTGGAGCAACTAATCCGGTTCTATTGAGAAGCTAGGCATCACACTGAACCATCTTTTTTCAAATGTCATTTTCAATACAAATTATGTTTTAATTACCATGGAAGGAAGCGCATCATAATATCACCATCACCAGTTGCTCCACAAGCCCCAACTTCATCATCACCATATGAAGAAGCTCCTGGTATTGGTCCATCGCCTACCCTGGAATCAAATGATTGGTCGGTACTCAGTACTAGCTATAAAGAGAGAAATTGAGAATTCTTCACCAAGGTCATTCAGTTGTCAAAAATATTGAGGATTTTAGAACTAGATTGGCCTCTCGCAGAAAGATGAATTCATCTAGATTTTATATTTCTATGAGTTAGATGGTTACAAAAATGAATAAGCGGGTACCATGCCAAGCAGAGAGTCCCAGTTCACTGGGCAACATTTAGGTTTCTAGGGGAACAATGGATGACACTGACACTGGCTTATAGAAAGGAGTTCTAGTCTGACATGTTTCACCATATAGCAAAAATGGTTTAAGAACATGTAACAAAAAAGCAAAATGCATAACGCAGTTGGTACATGGAAAAAGAATACAGCTGGCGGATTTACATCATTATCCAATACAGAGAGATTCAAATATAAAATACCACTCCAGTATAACAAGACCAGAGGATCTGATTGATTCATACAGTAACTAGATACCACACTCCAAAAACATATGAAAGATCCATGAAATGGTAAGATCTCATGGTACAAAGGAATTGGATACACAAAATGGCGGTGAATAAAATGCCCGAGTTACAGGAAAAAAACACACTTAGCTAAGACAGGTACTACCTAAACAACCAGGCCCAAACAGTTGGCCATAATTTTAGCCATCAACAGAAACTAGTATATTTAGTGTCCATGATTAGTTAAAATTATGATAAGACGGTTGGGATGTGATGTGAAGTCACCCAACATTCCAACAGTAGTCAAAGTGCTCACCTTCCTGGAATTTTAAATGTAGCACCATTGGTTGATGTCCCAACTGCTATGTGGCCCATCTAATAGAAAACAACACAGATATTAGTTTCACAACAACAGAAAGAGTCAGCTAACGTTGAATGTGATAACTACCTTGTCAATCACAGCCATAGAAATTGTGTCATGGTTGTGGCGATTAACAATCTTCGAATAAGACTTTATTGGCTCCAGTAAATTATCACTTTCATAATACCCCTGGCAGAGACCATCTTGATTCCCATCTACCTCATTCTTTACAGAGTCCTCAACTTCAACTGAGGCTAAATTGATAGGACGGTATGGACCACACTCACCGACAGGAACAACATTTTTCCAGAAGTTTGGTTGGCAGTAGTTCTGTCTCCACTTTTCCCATTTCTCAATTGACTCTGGTGAACTGAGGTTAGTTGGCCCTGGAAGACCCATTGAAATTGCAAATGCTGTTGCTTTCTCTCCAACAAGCAGAGTATGCTCGGTGTGCTCCATGACTAACTTTGCTGCCTTGATTCCATCCCTCACATATCTCATGGCTGCCACAGCTCCAATTTCCATTGTTGCCTGACAGTTTCCTTAAGCGAAAATAATGCAATATGCATCCCCTATGAATGATGGAACATAATAAAATATCAATCTGAACTGCAGCATGAGTAAGTAAAGCAGATGTTACCCCATTCATGACAAGAGCATCTAAGGTAGTTTCACCGTTCTCATCTGGACTTCCACCTGGACCAACTGCATGACATGTAAAATAACTAAAATTATAACCAGGTTGATATATTCAAGATGCACTGCTAAAAATAGGCAAGTTGTTCAAATCAATAAGTAAAAAACAAGAAGCAGGGCTGCTTGACCATTACTGTCCATAAATGGATTAGGAGTTAAAACACTATGAACCGCATGTAATAGCAGTTGCAATTCGTGTTATCCTCACACTGCACTGCTAACCATTTAAGGATTTTTTGTGCATGGATTATTTTACCTTTGTAACTACATAAGAGAAAAATAATTTAGGCAATGTAAAACCACAATGTTTCTTTGTATTAAGATTAAGACCTCAGACTTACCATTATTTTGTTTCACAACTCGATGTAAAGCAAAGCGTTAAGAATTATGCAGGCACGCATATCACTAGAATCTTTTAGTATTGCCAACATAATAAGGCCACATAACTGAAAAATATCCAATTTAAGCTCTGCAACCATTGTTTATCCATTTACTTCATCAAATGAATGGACAGAATTGGGTTCAATGTACCACTAGGGGAACTCAAAAGGGACCAATGGTCTATGAGAAATATTTTGGCTGCATGTTTGAATGTTAAATTATGACAGCAATGGAAGCACATGTATAGTATGTAGAGAAATCCAAATCCAGTTTGATATAGGTATACAAATTTTGAACCAGTTTCACGCATAAGCCCTTGTGATGGGACAATGCAGGAAAAAAGAGCTCTAAAGGTGTGGTACCAGGCATTGAACAACATATGCAATTGATACAGAGAGCTTTACTTTGCTGCTGGAGAACTACAGATGCAAACAGCAATGTTGGCATACAACTTAACAACTATAGATAGTCCTGATATAAACCATGAATTTAACAACCCATTTCTATTGTAGTCCCTGATGTTGTATCATGTTTCGATTCAATGTGTTACTGCTGATTCATCAATATACTTCAGAGAGCAGCATCGCTATTGCCACTCGGCGGTCTCGCGTGAGCTACAATTGTGGCCTTGCTCGATTGCCATAAGAAGAACGGCATGTGCAAGGGAGCAGGGACTGACCTGTACCATCGCAGCGGAGCTCCTCGCAAGCCGAGCAGCCAGCGACGACAGCATCGATGGCCGAACCACCTCCTTCACTCGCCGAAACCACCCTCCACGCCGCTCTGACCGCCTCCCGGAACGGCCAGGTGCTCACCACCACCGGGAACGCCGCGCCTTCGTCGCCCACCCCCTGATTGCATTCCCACAAACCCCAACAATCGAAATCCGTCATCAATCAAATGATGTAACAAACCAATACAACTCCACAGACCAAATCGAATCGGATCTACGCTTACCGAGCACCAATAAAACCGAATTAGCAGGAGCCCTATAAGAAACCGCACGGAGCTCCGCCTCATGGAATCCATGGAAGCGGGCATCGCGATTGACTCTGGATACAAGGGGCGGACTGGCGAGTCCGCCGGTGCCTGGGTGCTAACTGCTAAGCTTACCGCGATCTGCTCATACAGCCATACATGCGCTCCGATGGGGACATGTCCCACATGTCAGTGGGGTGGCAGTTTGATACTTCCATGCGGGCTCCACATGTCGGTCAGTTTCGGGCTTGTATAGGGTGCCACTCCCGCAGCTGAACCCCGAATACCCTAGTGACGGCGGCGCGGATGGACGACCGAGGCGGCGGCGGCGGCGGGCAGGCCAAGAGGTGGCCGTGGTGGGCGGCGGCGAGCGCGGCCCAGGCCGCTGCCGGGGTCGCGTGGTTCCGACGGGGCAGGGGCGGGGCGGCGGTGGCGATGCCGCTCAAGGCATTCGCCATCGCCTCCCTCTTCGTCGGCGCCGGCGCCACCGCCGCCGCCGCTGGGGTGCTTGCCGCGGGCGTCGGATCGGTGAGGCGTCTAATCGAAGCTTCCGCTCCCGTGCGGCGAACGATTTTGCTGCTCGAATTTTGGCTGATCTGGTGCGTGTGATGTGATGTGTGTATTTGCAGGTGGAGGAGATGAAGGTTGTGGGCGCGAGCATCCGGCGGTGGATGGGAGCTCCTCCTCGCCGGGCGGGAGGTAGTGACTGACCAGCGGAATTCAGAATGCAGAATGCAGAGGAGTAATAAGATCTCACTGTTGTACCTTGTATTGTATCACAAGCTTATTTTGATCACCTTGTTCCCATAGAGCACATACTCCGAAGTTACTTTGCATCCTTTGCTTGATTTTCTTTTCTGGTGAAAAATAAATTGCAAACTAGCTGAAATCGACTTTTACCGAACATCGGTTGGGTTGGAAGGATGGCAAGTCGTAAGTTCCTGATCGGACGGCAATAGAACGCCTGGATTTTTGCCAGGTTGCAACAACAAAACAAAATGTTTTATTTCCCGCACCATGTGTCGGAGGCTAGACACGGAGTGCCTTGGGCCGCGGAAATCGGAGGTCGTGGGGGTGGGACGAGCGGTTAACCACCCGCGTTCGTGCGCCCGCTCCATCGACGCTGGCGGCGCCCCTTGGGAATCAAACCCGTCCGTCGGATCCCAGCCGGACGCCCCCCACAGCGCCACGTGCGCCACTCGCTCGCCCCCGCCCGGGCCCCATAAGGAGCACGACGACGCAGACAGCGCTCTCCCGCAACACTTCTACTGCCTGCGAGATCGCTTACGTGGAGGCAATGGCTCGAGCACCTGGCGGCGCCCGGCGGCGGGGCGGAGGCAGCGGCAGGAGGGACGCGGCGGCGGGCGGGGGCGAGGCGGTGCGGAAGGGGCACTGGACGGCGGAGGAGGACGCGGTGCTGCTGGAGCACGTGCGCGTGCACGGGCCCCGGGACTGGAGCTCCATTCGATCCAAAGGCTTCCTACCGCGCACCGGCAAGTCCTGCCGCCTCCGCTGGGTGAACAAGCTCAGGCCAGACCTCAAGACGTACGCGAAAACCTTTCAACCTTTGTTTTCTCCCCTCTGATTCACTCCTCCTTCGCTTTGCTTAGTTTGAGTGCACTGTGAATTCTTAACTGCATTTGCATTGTTGCCTGTTCGCTTGAACTTATCGGTCGTATCGTTTTAGCGAAATAACCGTATTTTTCTCTGACAACATATCAAAATCAGCATCAGCATGAGCTGTTTTTCCAGCCAGCCGAACAGGGCGATAATCGATGCGATTCTAGTTGTCAGAATTTCGTTTTGCTTAGGTTTAGGCTGCACTGATCCCGAACCATTCCTCCCACCCCTCGTACTCTCTTCTCGGCACTGCGCTTGATTTGTTGTGTTCTGCATTTTGTGCACGGTTCATCACAAATTCACCATGGTGATCGGGCGCCTTGCAACAGTGGCTGCAAGTTCTCTGCAGAGGAGGAGCGGGTGGTGCTGGAGCTGCAGGCGCAGTTCGGGAACAAGTGGGCGAGGATCTCCACCTACTTGGCGGGCAGGACGGACAACGACGTCAAGAACTTCTGGAGCACCCGCCAGAAGCGGTTCGCCAGGCTGCTGGGAACGCCTCTCCGCGGCCGGTCCAGCAGGAGCAGGAGCGCCAGGGCGCAGGCGCCTGTTGCCTCCTCTCTGGAGTCGCGACCCGCCACCGTGGTAAAGCCCTCGCAAGTTTGCAACACACATTGCCCGCTTCTCTTTCTTGGCTACTTGTTTTACAAGTCTTGTCCCTCGCTATTCACTGATATGATTTTTCAGAGAAGTTATAGTTTGCAGTTTGAATTTGATGCAATTCTCTTTTTTAACATGAATCCCTGATGCGTCGTCAGGTTCCCTGCCTGGATCAAGTTCCATTGGAGGGCAGCTCCTCTGGTGTTCACCCATGCAGAGCAGCAATACCATTCATGGACGCGCAGAAAGTTCCATTGGAGGGCAGCTCCTCCGGTGTCCACCCATGCAGCGCAGCAACACCATTCATGGACGCGCAGAGTGCTGCACTAGCCCCGTACGATTGGGCAGGCTCCGGGTTTGTCAGTTTCGACGGAGCACTGCCGCTGGCCTCCGACAGCCACGCGTGCTCGTCGTCAAACGCTGCCGCACTGCCACCACTGCTGCCGTTGGACCAGCCTCCGTGCCCTCTGCTCGACTTCCCAGGGCTACCGGCGGCGGGCTGGAACATGGCTCCTGGGTTCGCCAATGCCGGCGCTATGGACCATCTCGCCTTCCAGGAGCTGCTGCCGGTGACGCAACCCGCTCCAAAGATGCTCCCGTTCTTCGGCACAGAGTGCCCGCACGGCGGCGTCAAGTCCGAGCTTCCGGACGCGGCGCCCGACAACTTCTTCGACGACCTGCCGCCGGACATGTTCGACTCCCTTGATCAACCGCCCCCGCCACTGTCACCGCCTGCGACGAGCTCTGGATTTTGAGATTGGCCTTTCTTATCACGAGTGCCGTAGTTGCCAAACTTGCCATTGAGGCTGGTTGGGCATTTGCCTGTTCTGACGCTGCTAACCAGTGCTAGGCTACTAGTGGCTATTGAAAGTTGTAGCCTGAGATTGCAGGCAACTTAACTTTGCAATGCTTGAAATTTGAGCTTTGCGTTGGACATGGAAACTGCAATGCTTGTAACCATAGTTGCAAGATGCATTAAGTATTAATCACATGTCTGTGATGTATGTAAAGCTTAGTATGCTGTAAGATTAAGATCGGTATCAGAGATGCAAGAAGTTTAGCATGTAAGTACTATGTAACAGTGTTAGTGCCATTTGGGGGCCAGATGGTTTTTATTGGGCAATATACTTACTGCACTATAGTTTCCGGACTCTGAAGAGGAAAAGTTTGTCACAAGGAAATGAAGTTTGCTGTTCATGAATTCTTGATCTAAAATTGACGGGGTTGGCTTCCATTTGTTTACTGTAGAGGTGACACGTGCAGCGGCTCACATGAGTCATGACTAACAGCATGTTCGCTTGTTAGTTTCAGCCAGGGCTTATTAGCCATGGTACAGTATTTTCCTCTCACAATAAACTAGCACCAGCCAGGCTTATCAGCCCATAAACCAACCAGCGAACAGGCTGTAAGTGAAAAAGGACCGTCATATGACTCAATAATGTGCAATTTTGAGTTCTCATTGTACAACAGTCTTGACTGTCTCTAATGACAAATACAAATTGCTCGGGATGTTGACACATCTTACGCCTCCTTCGGAACAAATGAAAAATGGAGAAATTCTAGAGGATTGGAATCCTATAGAAAAATCCATATGAAACCCCTAGGGTATTATGCTACCTACTGGCCTGTTCGGCTGGTATTAAAGCCGGCTGATAAGCCGGCTGAAGCTGTTTTGTTGTGAGAGAAAAATACTGTAGATTCTAGCTGATAAGCCGGCTGATACATTAGAGGTGGGAGTTGGTTCAGCTCTCTCGTGCTTTGTGCAACTTCGCCTTCTTCATGCCATGCCACCCAAGCACAACCATCGGTGATACTATACTAATCTCCTTGGGCGGCTCATCATCTTCATAGTTTTTATTGCACTGAAACATGGCTACACATTCATGCACAAAAGATACATTTCATTTCCATGTACAAAACATACACTTCTTATTTCCCTAAATGACCATTGTTATGCTAATTCTGCAGGAAACTTTGAGTAAAAGGTGCTAAACCTGTAGGAAACTAAGGTAGCATACTCTATTGGTTCAGAAATAGTTGAAGTTTGTATAATAATTTGATATTTGACTTCTGATTTTTTTTTTTAGAGAAAAGGTTTCACGCTTTATTGCATCAACAAATCGAAAGTATTAATGACAACTTTCTCTTAAATTAGATTGTGTTCTACCATGTTTGCTCATTACATTGTATCTATCCGCAACAGTAACACCTGGAAACTTGATGATTGTGTTGCTTGTAGGGGACACCTGAAAGGAATCCTATGAGAAAAATGCAATGTGCTAAAGTATAGTGAGAGGCTTATGGCATCATATTTAAATATTTGATGTATGCGGTACACATCTATAGTTAAGAATGAGAAATAGAAAATAAACAACACTGATCACAAGATTGTTGAAGGCTGAGATATTTCAAACCATGGTCGAAATAGTTCTTCAGCTAAAGATGCTAGTAGTAATAGAGAATGCACCTTGCAGTGCTTGCACTTCTACTTGAGGACTACTTTGGAAACTCCTCAATTCTCTTGGGATTTCAGGCCTTTCCCATAAAAGACAATCCATGAATATACTATCATTTTAATTAGCCACTTAGTTTTTTATAAGGCACTTTTCATTCTTGGGCTTATCTCCTCTTCTAAATTAGTCCTAAATATTTCTAGCACTTCTACTTGCTCAAGAAACAATTTGTTTTCATTTTGCGGCTTCTTCAGCTACTTCATGGTCATAAGTCTTTTTTGTTAGAGCAAGACTAATAATACAGTCTGTTGTTGGCTGAATGCACACTTACAACCAATCTATCGGCTCATCTATGACCCCATTTGTTTCTCTCAAAAAATTTCTTAGTTCTTGTGCATAATCTGGCTGTAAACTTACAATACATTTATCCTCTCTCTCCCACCTCAGTATACACAATCCACCTATAGCCCTTGACCATACTTACTCTTAATGTACATGATATCTATCATAAACAGATTATAGGGCCAATTTATATCAAAAAAAATCTGAACCATGTGAAAAACATGTTTCAACAAGAAAGTGATTACAGTACGATGAAAACCATCGATTATTGTGTATTTTCTCTTTTCCAAAATAAATTCACATCTCATTCCTTGAGGGGTCCAACTCTTTTAAATTTAACTAGTTATATAGAAAATAATATTTGGTATTTGTATCTTTAAATAAATTTATGTATGAATGTATATTTCACGATTAATGTAATAAAGCTTATTACATATCATGAGTATTAGTATTTTTTGTATATGTTTAGTTAAATTTATAAAAAATAACTTCTCGATAAGCGAAATGTGCTCTTATTTAAGGAGACGGAGAAAGTATATAAAATCCCGTTCTAAAATAATAAAGAGGACATTGGCTGATGGCATATTTGCAATTTTTTTTCCAAAAAAAAAATCATCTAGCCATCGATATGGAAAAAATATCAGGCATGCGCTTGCCATCAACACGAGTACACGGACCGACGACCCGAGCGTGTTTGCGTTCACTTCTCCTCCTCGTCCTTCCTCCCATTCACCTCTCTGCCTCATGGTTGTTCTTTCCTCGCGGCGACGAGTCGGCGAGCAGGGCAGGGGCGCCCTTCGCTAGGTCTTCACCGGGCGCTTGGCCAGCGATTGGCACCCGCCAGGTATCCTGCCCGTCCTCTTCCTTCCTGCTTTTCGAAACCGAGCACCCAAATCGGATCTGACCAAATTACTGGTATATTCATGTGTTATGGCTACTAATTTTGATTTTGTTTCGCAAAAACTATCGGGTGTATGTGCACCAGTGTTTTGTGTCTTGTTCCTGTGCTGTGAGTGGGTCAAAATTATCAAATCACATGTTGATATTTCACCAATGTACCAGGCTGTGATGTTTCCATATTTCTTAGGAGCAACTGAACTTTTTGCCCCTTTTTTCGAAAACACAGTGTTACAATCCTCGATAAAAAAATCACCCTCGTCTCAATTGCAATTTATTATGAGCAGGTTGAACAATACACCATATAAGGGAAGAATTCACTGAACTGCAATCAGGTAAAATAGACATGCATCCGCGTAACATCAATGAGAGTCAGCTAGAAATGTGAGTGTGAACATTATCAATTGCCTAAGCTGGTTCCATTACTCGCACATAAATGTTTATTTTTTGAGGGATCAACAGGAGTTTCCCCCACTGCTTATGTATGTTATAAATAGATGAAAAAAGATAGTACGAAACAAAAGCAGAGTTTAAGGAACGTAAAAAGAGACAGAAAATAAAAAAGGTCATAAGAGGGTTTGTAGCCATTGTTTAGTAAGAGGGAAATACTTCTTTGCTCTATGCATAATCGCACATAAATGGTGTCGGCTTGTTGAGGTATTCACACGCAATGACACAGAATGCCTAATCCTTATCCTCCGAATGACTCATGGCCAGATACGACGGGTTAGATTTAGACTTCTGGGGCGCCCTTTTGTGATATTTGAGGGCTTTAGTTTTCTTTACAACTGATACAGTGTCCACACAGCTCATTAAAGTGCAAGTTGATAGCACGATGGACACTTGTCCTATGAAATTGCAGTGGGGGTAGATAGTGTCCATATGTGGTTTTGGATTCCAGCGAAGTAACACGCAAAGTTCTCTAGTGTTATTTCGTGCACGACATCTATCGCTACAGCTATTTAAACCCATCACCCACTGGTTCTGTGTTCCATTCTTGTAGAGGCAATTTATATGACTGTTGCATATGCTTTCTCACTAGACAGTCTTGATCCTCGCGTATCCTACTATCCTAGTCCTCAAGAAGTGGGACTTGTTGAATCTCTTATCCTTGATCTGTTAGATCCAGAACGAAAGGTGAATGCCCTTTCTGAATTACGTAAGGTAATTATGTTTCTCATCTATAACGTCCATTTCACCACTTCCTATTCATTTTACGTAATATCTCAAAAGTAATTGGCACTGAGTTGTTTCAAGCTCCAGTCGCCAGTTGCTTATGATAGCATGAGTGGATGAGGTTTTCTGTAATCTGTCTTCTGTCTATCATAAATTGTGATGCAATAATATATCTTCCTTTCTTCATTAGGTAGTAAGCGACCAACCTATTTGAGAATATTGGTGCTTGGCACTTAATATAAATGTGGAAATCACGAGATAAATGTGGCACTGAATGATTCTAATACACTGATGTAGTTTTCTTGCCTCTTTTTTTTTGTTTATAAAGGAGTGATTCTCTAACTCCGCTGTAGACTACTATTTTACTAACCCATAAGCCCTTGTTTAATGCTATTATCTTGACATTTGTGATTGTATGAAATTCTTCCTTATATAAATTAAATTTATTCCCATTGTATTTTTTTCCCGATTAGGATAGGACTACATCAAGGGTCAGCTTTGAACCCTTATCTGTTTGCCTTAGTGATGGATGAGGTCACAAGGGACATACAAGGGGACATCCCTTGGTGTATGCTTTTCGCGGACGATGTAGTGCTAGTTGATGAAAGTCGGACAGGAGTGAATCAGAAACTGGAGTTATGGCGGGAGACTTTGGAGTCCAAAGGTTTTAGACTCAGTAGAACTAAAACTGAGTATATGAGATATAACTTCGGCACTACTACTCGGGAGGAGGAAGATATTAGTTTGGAAGGTCAAGTAGTGCCTAGAAAGGATACCTTTCGATATTTAGGATCAATGTTACAGAGAGACGGGGATATTGATGAAGATGCTAGCCATAGAATCAAAGCAGGGTGGATGAAGTGGCGCCAATCATCTGGTGTCCTATG